GGCCGGTGACGACTAACGGCCGACAAGTGGTTGGTGGTGGGGAGCGGCAACGGGCGAGAGTAAGGTTTAATTGGTTGGGTGTGTATCATATGCTAACTTTTAAAATGGTGTTTTGAAAACACGTTTGAAAAATAAACACCATGGTATGGTGTTTTTAAAAAAAAAACACTTTGGTTACCAAACACACTCCTAAGTTGCATGGAAACGGGTACGGGTACCCGTACGGGTGCGGGTACGGGTACGGGACACGGCAAAACTGTAAAATGTAGGGTACGGGGACACGACTACATATATATATTGAATTAATACTGTACATAAGATAAAAATTTCCCCCTTCATGTGTCATTAGAATTAAAATTCCAATCACATTTTTGAGTTTCTTTTATTATATTGATTATTGTGAATTATAAACTACACATTTTTTTTACTAGATATCTAAACGACCCATTAACTACATAGTTTTAAACTTGGGTATGGACTGAAACGAATCCGACCCGTATCTCATTAGTTTCAAATGACGGATGTGAAGTGTAAGCTCTACGTCCAGGAAGTCTTTGACAAGTGTTTTAAATTAACACATATATCATATAATTGAGTACATGTTGTAATAAATGCATGCATATATTCAAGAAGTGTCCATGAAGTTTGTTGCGAATCCCATACCCGCTAATGTACTCGGTAGCATAGCAATTCCAGATTAGGGGAAATAGAGTATGGCTCAAACATGAACAGTTTTCATAATGGATTTGCACGAGGCAGGTGAAAAGAATAAAATAACTTGTGCGGAAAGTGGTCAAGGAAACCAGAAAACCAGGAGTGTGCCTGTTACTCAAAGCAGGTGCAGGTAACAAATAAACAGTAACTGGCATGGAAAATGAGAAACAGGACAGCTGTTCACTATCAGCATATGGTCCTTTTTCCTTTAGGTGCTCATTTTTTCAAGGCTTTTAGCTTAATATTGTTATTAGGCAGCCGTCATACTGGCAAGAACTGATTGATTACATAATCGTTTGGGCACATAACAGATTAAAAGTTGTTCCTATTACTCTGTTGACCTTGAGCACTGCAGAAGGACATGGTCTAAGTGTTATGCATACCTTCTGGATAGAATTGTCACATGGGACTGGGAGTTCTTCTTTGTAAAACCTACAGTAGGATAAAGGCTAAGAGGATATGAAAGGCATTATGGATTAATGTTTACAAGGTTTAGCTTAGGACCACACTACCCATTGTGCCTGATTTTATATTGCTATCATGCATGACTTTGAAAGTGAATATACTATTGAAGAATGTATTTACCTGAACAACTTCCGCTTTTCACATTGCACAATTAGCAATAACCATGTGCATCGTGCTTATTTTATTTTACTCATTCATACATAGAAGACAGGAACAAGATCATCAACTTTACTTGTGTTCTTAAAGGTGTAATTGCATAAAACTCTAAATAGCAAGATGAAAAATAATAATATGTAAAGAAGAGATCCTTTTTAGCAGACTATCCCTGACATTTAAATAAAACTACATAACGGTCGCAACATTAAATCATTAGACCTTAATTAGTACTAAATTGTTTTAAATCTGTGACATTAAAAACTTTAGTTCTTTGATGATGATAGCCAGAGCCATGATTGCAGAACTAACCTAGTTGCACAAGGATCACGTTATTCTTAACTCATGATTGCCACAAAAATTAAGACCGGTTAGGTTAAGGAGCATAATCCCGAAAAGCGAACAAAACAATGCACCATATATTTCAATTCAACCAACCTGACATCAAATGCCCATATCGTGCCCCCAAATTTCTTGCCGAAAGTACCTGTGCATATAGAGATCCTTCCCTAATTCATATAATAAAAATGTCCCTCCAACCCACAGAAGAAAGAAAACAGAAAGCAACGCTAACCCAAAAAAAGTGAAGGAAAAAAAATAATCTGTTTCACTTTTTAATTACTCAAGTTCCACTCATACCAGAAACATATGCTATTAGTTTGTCTTTATAACATGCACATCCATAAATTTGTGGACAATCACCAAAGTGAAAAAGAGGAAACATCACATAACAAAAAAAACAGATATTTATGTGCGCTTTACCTTTAAACTTGTGTACTAGCTCAGCACCATCAACCACCCGAATTCTGGAATCTGCAGATGTGATGAGGACTTCGGACAAACTACCAGGAGCAAACTGTTCAACGAAACTCATCAGCAATATAACGATATTCAGTTACATACAAGTTCTATGCTTCTAACAGCTGAGAATTTTCATATGTGAAGAAAAAAAATGACCTGAGGAAAGATAATTCTATATAGTAAAGAACTGGTTGAATCTCAGTTGAAAATACCTGGAAGCCGGTTATTTTCTTATGACTGGACTTTTTTTTCTTGTTTTGCAAGTCAATTTGACTTTTCTGATGGAGCTTATTATCTGGGTAAGAAATAAAATTTTCAGTTTCTAGATTATAGAGTAAAATCATATGAGAGAGAGAGAGAGAGGAGAGATGGTCTCATACCAGATGTGTCATAAAGATGACAACTTCCCTTATGTGAACCCACTAGTGCGCCCTAGGAAAAAATAGAAAAAAAAGTGAAAAATAGGGATAATAGAACTCAACAAAATACACTCTCAAACTTGTAACAGTTGCAAAGTAAAGGCTGAAAATCATCACTAAATCAAACATAACACCTGTCCGTCTGGTGTATAACAAGCAGCTGTAACCATTTCATGAAGATCATTCCAGTCCACAATTTGTCGATCTGGGATACTCCAGATGCGGACCTTTTCATCCAGGGATCCACTAATGAAGTATCTATCATCAACTGGATTGAATTGGATGCATGTTACTGCATCAGAATAGGGCATCATTTATACTGTATCTCAGAAACAAGCTAACAGAGAGAGGAATGAATTTCAGACAGAATAGATAATAATTACCATAGTCACTGTGTGAGAAAGTTTTCAAGCAAGAATTGCTAGACATGTGCCACAGCCTAACTGTTTTGTCCATTGAAGATGAAAGCAAATACTGTAATACAATACCATGTTTATTAGAATGCATCTTGGTAGATATACAGATATGCACAGTTGCAATTACATACCCCAAAAACTTGTTTCACATGAAGTATGCAAAGTAAAAGCAATAACTAATAACGAACATATTGCAGTGGGCAAAAAAGGGATCGCATTATGAAAGGTCATAGATTCAAGGCCAGGCTACAACCTTTGCTCAAAGAAAGGCATTTAGCTTCTGGAATTACAGATTATTCATTCATGAATCAGAAGGACACAAAAACCATCAAGTGAGAAAGACCACCTAACTAATTGCTCTTAATTTTAATTTCTTCGCTATAATCCTGAAGCTCATGTGAGGCTCACCTACACAACATACAAACATGAACTATATTTACAAATGTGAATTTTTGAAACCCAAGAAAGCAAGAACAACAATTGTTCTTAAATGTTTTTCTTTTCTAATGGGTAGTAGCATTTGAGTTTATCCTACAGTAGAGTGTGACATGTTGGTTCGGCTTGAATTGAGCCTATCTCAAGATTGCAAGGAGAAATACACTAATTAAAAAGTTCTTTCACAAAGATGCATGATGTGATTACCATAGCATGCACTTGTGGGTAGGTAGACAAGAGAGGTTGAAAACAAGCAAATAGGTACAGATCCAAGTTAAGATCTCATAACAGGAACAAATCAATGCTACTAGAGCTGAAGGTGCACAGAATTCTAAAAAATACTGCTGATATGATGTCTGCAGGTAATATGACTTGAGTGTTAGCAGTTGAGCGTGTGTCTCATTCAGTCTAATCCAGCTCTATAGAATCATAGGTCTCTGGTGAGTTCGATTGAAGAAAATGCCAGCTCTCTGATATTGTTTTCGTGCAATGATTTTTTCCACAAGAACGACAAGACTTTGTCTCAAACTTCTATAATTGGCAACATGAACTGTTTTCTTCCATTTAGCACTGTTAAAGATCATCTTCTCAATTAAATTAAAACCATTTCCTTTCTCTTCTAATGGTTACATATTGGTTGAAGAATGTTCATATGCATCGGCTCTACCAGGTGGGGATTTGCAATTATATGATGCAAATATGTCTCAAACATCCAGTCAAGAGGTTGACCTTCTAGCCTCCTAGTTGGTATGAATCAAACAACGGGGACCCACACGTGGGTTGGGTGTGGAAAAAGCCAAATCACAAAAGTCAATTAGCTTGAACCTGACTTGAACTCGACCCCACACATTCCAGTCCTACTTGGTAGAAGTTGTGAAGACACATAAGGAAATCATGATATAACTTAAACAAGAACATGTTTCTCCCAGAAAACCAAAATAAAGGAAGAGGGTCTTAAAAAATATTCCATCAATAATGGTTATGTCAGGATTGCTATTTCTCAACTATAGAATTCATGTGTAGCACTTCCTGGGAACCTTTGTGCTCGTGCTCATACTTCGTAAGGAGGTCAAAGCCAGGTTGTGAAATGCAACCACTGGAAACACTAGAATATGGAGAGAGAAAAAATTTCTAGTAAACCATGGTTCATGGCCACACAATTAATCTGGTACTGACAAGATTGCATCATTTCCTTGACTTCCTTCCGAGTAATAGAAATAGTGATGGCATTTTCGCCTATGTGTTTACTGTACAATTTACACTATATTTGGGAGTTTACTAATGGAGGGAAAGGGAAAAGAAGAGGAGATAATAGGGAATGAGAAGTGAAAGAAAGGGAAGAGGTGTATTTGAGAGTTTGATAAAGGGAATGGAGGGGAATCATTCATTAGCCGCCAGATTCATACCATAATGTTTCAAAATTTTCACCTCCATTACGCCCCAATTTCGGGGGAAATCAAATCATATTGATTGGAAGTTTAGTGAGGTGAATTTGTCACCTCCCTACACTTCCATTTCCTTTAAAAAGAACTCCCAAACAAGGTGAACCTTTTTGCTTCCTTTCCCCACTCCTCCATTCACCCTCAGTAGGTAATAAATAAATAGTAGAATAGAAGAGAAATTAGCCAACAAAATAAACTCCTAGTATGAGTTCCCTATTTTGTCCTGGTACAAAAATTAATACAAAGTACAAGAGTACAGGTTCATGTTAGTAACCAAAACTATTGCTACAATAGATATATACTTCAACATCCGCATAGCATCTATCTACACTATGGTAAATAATGTATAATACAAGTGGAAAATTTTTACCCTATTTGTTTACCATTTACCATATACATATAGTAACACAATAATAATAATAGGAAAAATTGTGTCAGGGCCCCAAAAGCAGAAACTTCATGTGTTGCAGCCCCTTCAACATCCCCCCATGTGGATCAGCCCCTTAAAATATGACATTTTATGCTGCAGCCTATTTTTAGCAATTATTACATGTCAACTAAGCTAAATCCCCAAAATGTCATTATCCCCTCTCCTCAATCCCTCAAACCCAGCGCTCTCTCATCTCCTCTTTCTCTCTCTCTCCCCTCTCTAAAACCAAGGGCTTTCTCAAGCTCATCCCTCGCCCTCCTCGCCGTCGTTGCTTCCGCCCAGGCCCTCAAGCCTCCCCTAGAGTTCGCTGCCGCCTCCCCTCCTCTCCTCCGCCCGACCTCGTCGCTGTAGCTCGTCGCCGCTCCTCGCCTCGCCCTCGACTACGCCGGAGTTCGTCGCTACCGCTCTCCGCCTCGCCTTCGAGTTCACCGTCAACGTTGTCTACAGTCCCAGCCCGATTCGACTGCTCGTCGACTTCAAGGACCTGATCGTCACTGTCATCCGCAGAGTTTTCAAGGAGTACGGCAGTCAGCGCGCGCCGCATCGCGGTGCTCGACGGCCACCCCGAAGCTAGCGATGAAGGTTTGAAGCTGTCAAGGACATTCAAGAAGCAGAAACCCAAGGATCGATTCAGATTGTTGATTAGCAAGTCGTTTAGTTTGATAAGCATTGCTACGCAGTGAGATTTTGGAGGTGTTTAGATATTGTTTCTTGTGTCGTTGTGCATTTTTTGGTGATGATGTGAACATGTATTTACATGTGATTTAATTTTAATAAATAGTATTCAATTTTATGTCCATTTTTGTGATATCCTGATTTTCGTGACTCACATTTTCACGTCGAAAATTTTCAATAAAGGACCCTACATATTTGTTAGTTAATAGTGTGAAAAATAGAACTAGAACTAACATGCGGTGAGTTAAAACTAACACGCGGTGAGTTAGGACTAACACAAGAGCCCAAGAACCATGAATTAGAATTAGAACTAACACGCGGTAAGTTAAACTAACACGCATTGAGTTAGAACTAACACGCGATGAGTTAGAACTAACACAAGAGCCCAAGAACCATGAATTAGAACTAGAACTAGCACGCGGTGAGTTAGAACTAACACGCGGTGAGTTAGGACTGACAGTGACACAAGAGCCCAAGAGCCATAAATTAGAATTAGAACTAACACGCGGTGAGCTAGGACTAACACAAGAGCCTAAGAGTCATGAATTAGAACTAGAACTAACACGCGATCAGTTAGAACTAACACGCGGTGAGTTAGGACTAACACGCGGTGAGTTAGAACTAACACAATAAAGGTTGTTACTTGGCATAATTTTTGCAATTCACTGGAATTTTAGTGGTATCACTTCCAATCTCGCCAGCATTTCAACATGTTTACAACGACACTAACTTAGTTTGATTCAAAGTTTATCAAAGAAGTTCTATTCTTTTAAAATGCTTGCTGACGGTTGCGCAACAAAAGCTCAAATGGATAATACTCTTCCAATATGCAAGCATTGATTAAAGTTGTGAGCAGGACCAAACACTGCTCAATGTCATCTAACTGCTAAGATTCACTGGACTTTGATTCTTGCTCATTCCTGTTACCTTTCACCACGTGTTAGTTTTAACTCACCGCGTGTTAGTTCTAGTTCTAATTCATGGTTTTTGGGCTCTTGTGTTAGTCCTAACTCACTACGTGTTAGTTCTAACTCACCGTGTGTTAATTCTAGTTCTAATTCATGACTCTTAGGCTCTTGTGTTAATCCTAACTCACCGCATGTTAGTTCTAACTCACCGCGTGTTAGTTCTAGTTCTCCACAACCTGAAGTCCAAAAAATAAAAATAAAAATGTTTTCAGCTTATTTTCTTCTCTTTCAATTTGAATGAAATTATGTTTGTTTTACTCACTTGATCCACATTAGTTTCTTTTATTTGGTAATCATGCACAGCAAACTCAATGCAGTAGTAGACTTTGGAGCTGTCCTGTTTGAACTAAGTGATGAACTCAAGCTGGGAAGAGAAAGCAATGCAGGAGCTATGAAGAGGCTGCTCATTCAAAACTATGAAGCCCTCAATATAGTCTATTTTCTCTAGCATTGATATCAACAACTCTTGATCTCTAGTTGACATGCAGTCAAATCGGGCCGGGACTGCCGACAACGTTGACGGCGAACTCGAGGGTGAGGCGGAGAGCGACAGCGACGAACTCCGGCGTAGTTGAGGGCGAGGCGGGGAGCGGCGGCGAGCTACGGCGACGAGGTCGGACGGAGGAGAGGAGTGGAGGCGGCAACGAACTCGAGGGAAGGCTTGGGGGCCTGGGTGGAGGCGACGACGGCGAGGAGGGCGAAGGTCAGGGCGACGAGCTTAAAAAAGCCCTTGGTTTTAGAGAGAGGAGATGAGAGAGCGTTGGGTTTGAGGAGAGGGGATAAGGATATTTTAGGGATTTTAGCTTAGTTGGCATGTAATAATTGATAAAAAGAAGCTACAGCGTAAAATGTCACATTTTAAGGGGCTAAATCACATGGGGGAAAGTTGAAGGGGCTGCAGTACATGAAGTTTCTGCTTTTGAGGCCCCGACACAATTTTTCCATAATAATAATAATAATAATATAGTACTAATTTTCCAGTACATCTATAATGGTAAATGGTAAATAATCAGGGTAAAATTTTTTACTTTTAGACTCTCTTTTTGTATAAATTGGGTAGGAAAACATAAGTGCCTCCAAGAACTAAGCATCAATGACCAAGTGATGGTGAGGGTTCGACTGAACGATTTTGAATTGAGAAGTTGTATGCTCACCCTACATGTTCTTACGAAGTGATTAGAAAGATTTAACTCCAATGCATACCAAATTGGACATTCCTTAGGAACTAAGAATTAATCTAGTTTTTGATGTGGAGGATCTAACCCCATAACAAGTCAGTTTTCAACGTGGAGGATCTGAACCCATAACAAGTCTTTCCTAGCATTATCCCAAATTCTTTACAATTGGCATCATATTTCAGCAGAATGGCTATTCTAAATCTATTGTATTTACAACAAACATCATCCCGACATTAGATGATCAAGGAAACCTAGAAAATGAAATTATTTTTGACAACAAACAAAGGCTGCCAGAGGTTTTTTGTATGTTGGCATGGCCGATCGGATTCAAACTGTATTTAGATACTTGTTTTCGGTTTTATTTATCAGAGATGAAGTTTCAAGCTGCGCTCAGAGTTGATATGGATCAAAGACTTCAAAAGGGTCTAAAAGAAAAGAGGGTTTGATTTAGTCTTGATTAAGTCATTTAATTTTTGTGAGTCATGGAAGTTCAGTTTAGTTGACTCATGTTTGGTATTCGTCAATTTATTTTATTTGTATTAGTTTATATTAATTGCGCTCGAGTCAATTTGATTTACTCTGTGGATACTATATGTTTAAGGACTTTGGAGGCATAAAATTCTTTCGTATTTTAGATTTGAGGATTAGAGACTAATGAAACACTTTTATGAGATTTCAATTAATGCACAAGAATTGTTTACGGTGTCAACCTTAATCTTGTCTACCTTCTCGCTCACATTGTTCATGTCTTTATCTTGATGAACGTGACTCTCCTCAGCCTGAAAAAAGATCCCCAACCTTTATCTCTTTCTGTTGACTGCAGCTAGGCCAATCCCAACATGGCTTTTGCTCCCACCCCTATCCCCCCCTAAGAGAACTTGCTTCATCCTTTGTTCTCCGCACCATAGATGATAGACCCTTTTTTGCTCTAATTATCCTAAACTTTCTCCGTACAGGACTGCTACAAGCACTTTTTGTTTCTCCAGAACCCTCACATATTTTTTTTCTTCAAATGTCAACGGCCCACAACCCCCTCTGACCTTAGCCAAGACCAGACAGAACCCCTATTCTAGAAATATTAAGAGCATGTTTGGCAACTTTGGATTATGATCCACTTGGATTATCGTTCACAGATGGATTATAATTCATAGTTTTTGGTAAACTTAGTGGAAATGACTAAAAAGAACATGGCTTATAATCCACCAAATAGGGCATTACTTGGAATTTTGTGAAATGATGAGGGGTATGTCTTTTACTTGGTCAAACATCGTGGCTTATAATCAACCAAAAAATAAGCGGGGTTATACGCCAAAATAAGCACTTGTCAAACATCTCAAAGTGGCTTATAAGTCACTTGGACCATTTGCCAAACATGCTCTAAAGCAACTGAGACTAACCTAGGTTACTTGGACACGACGTTTGGGGTGTCGTGTCCGTGTCGGACACGAATTCATGAACACATGGTTCAAAGCAAAATCTGATTTCCCCAATACTTATAGTTATATGTTAGACACGGATTAATGGACACAGGTGGTTCAAAGCAAAATCCGATTTTCCCATTACTTATACGTAGGGGTGCTAAACCGTATCCGTATCCGAGAAAATATCTGTAACTGCATCTGTTAGGATACGGATATGGTTACTCAAATCTATAACCGATAGGATATAGTTACGGATATAGTTTTATAATGAAATATCTGTACCCGTATCCGAAATATCCGAATACATATTAGTTATACTCTTACGATAGTTTCAATTCTTAGATTATGGATTTATGGTAATTTTGATAATCAAGATGTCTAATCTTAACTTTTCAGTTACAATTAACATATTAACAAACTCTTTTGTATCACATGAACTATGTTTTTCTCATTACTATCTAGTTTTCTCATATCTGTTTTGTATCTGCATGCATATTCGCTTATATATCTGCATATATATCCGTAACCGTATCCAATTTTAACGGATATGGTTATGATTGTTCCTTATTGAGGTTTATCCATATCGAAGATGGGTAAGCGAATATGGATATGGTAAGCATTATATTCGAGCTATATCCGGATCGAATGCACCCCTACTTACACGCTATCAAGGTTTTAAATGTCGGCCAACATGTCCAACATGTCGGCCGACATATCGATTTGAGGGCTTGACCGACACGACATGGACGTTTTTAACTCGTATGTCGGTTTTCAGGGCCAAATCGGAAATATCAGGGTCATATCGGCCATATCGGCCTATTTTTTAGCTTTAAAAAATCGGGCGATATGGTACTTTTTTTAATGTCTGTTTTTTGTTATCGGGTTTGGATTTAGTGATAAAAAAATACTACGGTCACACTCCCCATCACACCATGAGACACAACCCCCCTCATAGCTACAGTGCACGGGCCCACTTTAGATTTTTTTTTAAAATCTAAAGTGGGCCCGTGCACTGTAGCTGTGAGGGGGTTGTGTCCCATGGTGTGGTGGGCAGTGTGACCGTAGTGTCTCTAGTGATAAATACCCAAACTCGTTTGACCCGTTCTCATGTTTAAGGATTTCTTATGAACCCGATAGAAAGAATTTATGAACCCAAATCCATATATTATTTACTTTTTTATATGTTTAGTCTATAGAATTTATAAAATATGCTTATATTGAATTTATGAATGCTTAAATTACATTTAGGACATGATATTATACATATGCGCCTACCCGATATGGTAATCCGATATTTAGTCAATGTCCCTCGATATATCCCCAATTTTCGCTATGCGACATGGATTTCAGCCATCCGACATGAACCCGACATCCGACATTTAAAACCTTGTACGTTATACTAGTTTCTTTAGTAATATCGGGTTTAAAACCAATCGGTTTTTTGAACCTGAAAACTAACACTCATTACTTAAATATTTGAGAAACACCCACTGTATTATCCTATGTGATCAAGACTAAACTTTTGTTATTAAACATTATTCTTAGTTTTATTTAACTTGATTCTTAATTGTTATAGATAATAGAAAGAAACATACAGATGTTATTGTATTTTAATTTAATATTTGATCTGATGTAAATTTTACACACACATAGCCATGTCCCCATATCCTACATTTTACAAATATCCCGTATATGTATCCATGTCCGTGTCCGCACCCGTGTCACTGCTACTAGAGACCAACACTATACAACCCACAAAATTTACGAACAACCCCTAAAAGTTTCCAAACAGTCATTAAAACTTTTCTACTCCTAGAATCAGCCCTAAAACATCCAGAATCAGCCCAAAAAAATGACCCTACAGTTGAAATTGAGTTTCCCTGTCTAAAAGCAAATTTCCAGCAAGTATGTCAAAGAAACCATTAATATAACGCTCATAGCATTGGAAAACAATAACAACGCGTGCTGTTAGGTATAACCTTCATTAATTAATTGATTTATGTTACTGAAACTTGAAGTAGATATGTCTCTATGTAAATTCTCTACACATTTGTTAGATTGCTCACAGTTGCCTATGTTTCTTACATGTTAAACATCATAGCTTATAAATTTGCATACTTCTTAGATCGACTTTTAAGAGTTTATTAAGAGCATTCACATAGTTCAGAGATTTTAGATGCCTTGTCTGGTTAGTGTAAGAAATTGAAACTTCATTTGTGTGCTTGCTTGATATCTAGTGTACCTGCAGAACTTCGATAAATTTAACAATGTCCGTCCTTATGAAATTTCATCTTAAACATGTCTAGTAAGTCCATCCATAACTAAGGCAGAACACATAATGGCTTAAAGCTATTTCTTGATGTAAATAGTTGTCTCTCCTCCACTGGTTCTCACCCTGATTATATATATAGCACATAATCCTTAATCACATCAATATACATAGTAGATTTTTTAAAACTCACAACATTATCTCTCTCCAGACAACCACAAGTTTTTCTATATCAACAAAAAGCGTACCCATATCATCTCTCTTCTTCCTATATCTCGCTACCAATCATCTTAAATACATAAATAGGTTCCTTAGTTGTTAAAAACAACGTACGCACTTCATATGTGCTTCATTATTTTCTCTCGTCACAATGTCTTTTCTGCTTCATCATATGTATAAAGAAAAGGGTAACCGGTGTAATAAGCTGCTTGATATGGCTGCTTGATATGGTTTCAATACCAAAAAGGTTTTATGAAGGTAAGCAACATTTTAAATGGATTTAGCATTTTACTAGCAACTATATAGTCAAAGCCAGAACTACAAACAAGAAACCTATAAAAGGGAGAAATACCTCTGATTTGGACCATGATAGATCGAGAACATCAGCAAGATGCCCATTAAAAGAGCAAATCGGTTTCTCCCCAAGTGCAAATAACTGGTCAGGTACAACCAATTGATCAGAGCTCACTGACTTCCGGCTATGCGACAACCTTGCTCTTCTCTTTTTCTCCCAATGGCTCCCCTTGATACAAGTTAAGGCCAATGCCGACTCCGGTGATTCATTTCTACTCACGTTAAAAAAAGGGCTACAAGACCCAGTCTCCCCTCTCCCTATCTCAATTACCAAATCCCCTTTCTTCTTGACCTCCGAAACTTGCCAAACATGAATAACACAATCTTCCCCAGCACTCGCTAAATATTTTCCATCCAAGCTGAACTTAATGGTCCAAATTGACCCAGTATGAGCTTGAATCTCTTGAGTCATGTGAAGACCAGCGAATTCCTTGAAAGATTTGCCATACTGTCGGACCCTAATCCTCTGATGAAGTGAATGTGACCCCCCATCTTGACTATCATCCGTCGCCAAGCTCAACCTCATTCCTCGTTTCTCCAAGCTAGTATCCTTCTCATCTCTCACCCGTCGATCTCGATAGTGACCCCCAGCAACCACATTTCCAGCAATGTTCTTTATACTCCTTAGCCATCCCCCTTTCTTCTTCCACCTCAATCCCACATTTGCCCCAGGGCCCGCCCTCAAGCCACCATTTTCATTACTGGAACCACCATTGCTACTAGAATCCTCGACATTCTGCCGTCTCATCAGTTCTTGAACGATAGGAGATCGACCAACGCACATCTCAAACTCTTCCACGGTCAACTGCCGCCCCAATCCTATCTCTCTGGGTTTATTCCACATCCCGTCCTCTTTCACGACGAACTCCTCGCCGCTATCAAGGTTCTTAATGGTACAACTCAGGTCAACGTCACCGTTAAAGTTACCATGACTGTTACCATCAGATTCCTCATAAGATTTCGAAACTGCACCAGGCTCAAGAATATGCACATTATTCAGATCTACCGAGAAACTGGATCTCGATTGAGGAACAGATCTCGCATCCTCGAAGTCCGCGCTCCAGTTTCCCTCGGATCTCGACCGGATCGACGATTTCCGGCGAGCGAGCGCGGGATCGCCGATGAGCCCCATCTGCTGCAGCCCGTCGTCGTCGGAGCAGGACGTCGACGAGCACGACGATGACAAGATCCTATCCAAAGATTCGTAGAACTCATCATCCTTCGCCTCCTGAGAATTCCACATCCTAACAGAAAGAGAGAGAGAGAGAGAGAGAGAGAGAGAGAGAGAGAGAGAGGGAGTTACAGTTCGATGCGATGCGATGCGATGTTGATCTTCTTATCTTCTGTTATGCTCACCGCCGATCACCGCGGTTATTGTTGGATTAAGTCCACCGGGGTGAGTTAATAAGTGGAGGTTCCGTTTGGGTTTCCAACGGGGGGTTATGTTTTATTGTTGTTATTACCGAAAATGACTTGGACCAATTAAGAAATTAGGATAATTAATCTACTTCTTATAAACTAAAAGAGAACAACAAAAAAGATCTGATGAATAGTAAAATAACTGCCTCTATCGCTAATTCTAATCAGCCTATCCCAACCCACGTTCTCCTTGAAAATAAATCTTCGCTTCTTTCTTTAACCGTACACTTTCTTCAAAATCCCCACGTTCTCTCTCTTCCTCTCTCAATATTTCTTCAATATTTCTTTTCTCTCTTCATTCTCTCCTTTGTCTGAATCCCAACTGATCGATTGATCGATCGATGCTGATCGCGTTGGGGACTTTGATTCCGACGAGTTCGAGGGTTTTCGATCCAGAATCGTACGGAGGAGAAGAGCTACCATCGCTGGAGATCGATGAGAAGGAACGTCATGGTTCTAGCCGATGGGAACTTCACTGAGTTCATCGAGAAGAATCGGCACGTGATGGTGGAGTTCTACGCTCCTTGGTGCGGTCACTGCCAGGCTTTGGCGCCTGAGTACGCTGCAGTGGCGACGGAGCTCAAGGATGAGGACGTGGCTCTGGCGAAGGTGGACGCGATGGAGTAGAACGACTTTGGTTTTCGTTGTGGATGGGGTTCACAAGCCTTATCCAGGCCACATGACTAAGTGAGGACCTCAGATCTCATCTTTTTATTTCTCGATCTACTTCAGCCTGTGATTTCTATTGTTCAGTTTGAAGTTTTTTGTCACTACTTTTTGCAAATTGTCTCTTGATATTGACTCTATGTGTTGGCCAGTAAGTAGGGAATTTATACTTTGTAGTAGCAGTACTACGGCTTCAGGGTATCTTTCTTACTTGATAAAAATATTAAGTGCATAAACTAATAGAACTAAATCTTAATGCAGGAGCTGGGCATCTAGCCTTCGATAAAGAAACACAAATTTGGACACATAAGATCATTTGTATTTGTGTAAGGTAAAATCAATTTCCCTTGGGAATTGTAATATACATGTTAAATTTTACTGTGTTTTGTTGTACTAATAAGCAAATAAAGACTTTAATGTTGACTATTTAATCACAAATTTACACATCAGGCTTTGTTTTGTTACTACGTATAACTCATGTTAATGAATGTTATTGTTAGAAAAACAAACATAATGATATTTGTACAAATCAAGTACATTTTCTTTATAATTGTCATTACTATTTTCATGTTGTGTATATAAATTTAAATTGAGTGTTATTGAATTATTTACTATGTCAATTCTTATAGTTATAATGACAACTCAAAAATGAAAGTTCTTGATATTTGGGCCCATCTTTAACATCGACAATTTAAAATCTATCACATTCTGACAAAGGAAATGGATGAAGTTAAATTGAAGATAACACTTGAAATAGTTTGTGAAATCTGATATTATTTTACTTCATCATACCAAAGAGTAAATTTAAGATGGAGGAGTTCACAGTAGATCAATAAAATAATAGCTTGATACCCAAATAACGGGGGCCAAACAACTACGCAAACAGGTAGTACACATGGTACGTATGATTTATTTAAGATCTATTTTAGTGTTGTTAAGAAATTCATATGTTTTAGACTTGCACTCTAACTATAATCTAATTTAATAGCACAACGTGATCCTGAAAAAATCTTATCTTTACGATAATTAAAACGAAAGTTAAGAAATTGTGAATTATATAGATTGGATTATGGATTGCATCAACTGAAATATGCATGCTTCGAGAAATCTAATGAGTCTGATTTACCCGATGGCTATAGGATGAAAATGTATAAGAGCAAGAGAATAAAAGAAAGCATCAGCAACATAAACGTTGACAGTACATGTGACAGAACTAGCCCAATAATAAAAAGGTATGAATCTTCTTTATTCATTTTTTTGAATTAGCATTTGTTATATCATGTTGTTATTATGCTTTTAATGAAGAAATTGTTGACAATTGCAGCTTATCACAATGATATACAGAACTTTGACAAACCAACTATCATTTGTAAGTATTGTCACAATACAATGTGGTATGAAGAAGGCGCAGAGAAATCTTGGAATCCAAAGAAACCTTCTTTTTCTATATGTTGCAAGAGGGGAGGATTGAAGTTTCCTCTTCTTAAAGAGTCTCCAACATTTCTGAAAGACTTTATATCTAAAGCATAATACTTTATTTTATTAACATGTTAAGTAGTTGAAGAAAATCTTTTGGAAACCGTGCTTTGCACGGGTCTAAATACTAGTTAAGATAATGCAAGGAGGAGGAGTGGCTGATTACCGAGTAACCGACAGAAGCTGGGAGGGGATTACTATAATAATGTCGGGGTCCACTTTGAGGCTGTTTGTTTCACTAGCGGGCAAGAATACGATTAGGAATCCGGTTTTTTTATGGATTCCTACTTATTCAATAAAAAATTTTGAGACAAGTTTGTAGTTTTATGGAATCCCTTTTTTTTTGCATTCTATGTTTGTTTCATTACATGAAAAAATAGAATCCAATTTTTATAGAAACCCTCCAATTCCTAATATCTAGTTTGGTTCAGAATGAAATTTTTTTGGGATCAATATTGTAGCAACAGCTAGTTCAATATTCAAAACAAAAACACTGTAGCAACGGCTAGCTCAATATTCAAATCCAAAACACTGTAGCAACGACTAGTTCCACAAGCTCAAAAATCCGACAGCAATAACCTACAGCAAATCCGAAACACAAGCTCAAAAATCCGACAGCAATAAACCCGAAGGCAAGGAGCTACACAAGCTCCACCTAACAACCAAAAACCTATAGCAAAGGGGCAACAAATTAGCTTCATCTGTCATCAATAGCAAAGGTGTAACATTAAGAACTCATTAGTCATGCCTATCCATACTTACTTGCATCGAAAGTTAAAAAGTACCAATTCGTTAATTACATGACGTCATAGCGTTCATAATAAGAAGTATTGCAACATTAATAGTTTGCAAATAACAAAACGATATATGCGCAACAACATATACGCATGCACAACAAAATGCTCCATCAACATGTAATCCAAACCGAACAAATTAGTTAACAGACCAACATTGGCCGTTAATCAGGTTGGTAATGTACCTCTGCTGACCTTCCTTGCCTTTTATGAAAAACCTTCTAGCTTCACGTTCATTGTTATATAAGTGATCTAAAATCCTATCCAGAAATTCCTCAGAATATTTATTCCTATGTTCCTTCAACGCTTCAGCCAACTACTCAGTCCAATGAACAATGTGTTGATTTCTCATTGACTGAGACATTGACTCAACAAAGGCATATAACATTTCCTCTTCACGATTTGATTTTTTAGGTTTTTGTTAGAGGATGAATTCATGTTGTCTTTACTCTTAGACTTATATCTAGGCAGTTATTTTTGGTTACAAGCATCAGATTATGGTGTAGTCTCACTCTCCTCTGGAATCTCACTATCATCATTAGGAATAGGTATGGACCTACTAGACCCAATGTTAGCATACACAGGCCTAACAAATTCACCATTAGCTTGGTCATCACTCATGATCACTTGTAAATTTTTGAAGTGAGGGAGGGGTTTGTTTGTGTACGCTTTGAACTTAGATTTGGATTTGTCCTGTAATAACAAATAATTATAAGTTGTGAACCAAATGTATTTATTACTAATGATAATGTAGATGTTGAATGTTATACCTGAGATCATGATTTCAACATTTCGTCATCCAGTGTAATCATTTTATTTATTTCATCCCACCCAGCTCCACTTATATCAAGGCAAGCCTTCATGTCATTGAATTTGTTTCCCAAGCATCTCAAGTGGTTAATGACATGTATATGAGTGAAATCAGTCCTGAATTGCATATTGATTTTTATCGCTGCCACTTTATAAGCTTCTGCCATGAAGTTCTTGTCTGGCTTTAGCCCATCTAATGCTAATTCTGCAAGATAAGGAATGAGCACGTCATCGTGCTCTAGAAGCCAAAACTTATTAGCCACACCTCTTGAGTTCAACTTTGGCCCCAAGCCCGTTTTCTTATGAGCTTTTTTTTTCTTCCTTTTTTTATTGGTGAAGTGTGCTCCTCACCATCAACGTCATGAATAATCTTCTCAACTGAATCACCAGTATTTGGTGAAAATTGATTAGGTCCACTACTTTGAGAACTGGCTATGGAAAATAGCAAACCTTGTGGACTGCTTAACATGCTCACGTATGACATTGGTTGCTGTGTCATTCCACCATAATTGACATCATATAGTGAGAATGGTGAGAATGTATGATGGGGTGAAGGTGAGAATGTATGATGGGGTGAAGAGAAATGTTGTGGTTGAACAGGCGTGAAGTTCATGTTAATGTTAGCAGTTGGATTTAGCGGAGCATTACTGCTTATCCGCCTGATTGTTAGCCATACCTAATATATATTACACAAGTAGACATTTTTATTAAAGAAATCTAAATCAATATATAATATGCATGCATTTAGTAATTTGTGTTAGAAAAGGAATATATGAAATGCCTACATTTCGCAAAAAACATGAATAGAAAGTAGATGATAATCGTAGTAATGTTTAGTATATGCTAAGAAACATTAAAATGGATAATTGTAAACAGTAAGAAAATAAGACAAGTTATTGCATCGAGATAGAACAAATATCATATTAAGTTAATCCACTTTCCATTGTGTTACTTGTAGGTTATCTAAAAATCACTGCAGATAGCTGATCCCCCATCAAACACCGATGATGGAAGTTACAATCTGACGACTTCACAACAACTGATTAAAGCTATATTCAACAGCCTTCATAATCAACATCGAGAGTGACAATCTGACAACTCTCATATTTTTAAGGAGCCAAGACAAAGGTTAAAAGGTGACAATCTTTGTAATGCTCTAACAAAAAGAGACTACAAATTGACGGTCTCTTCAATTCAAGACGCAGAGCTCACCTCTGCGTCTCAGACTCAAAACGCAAAGGTCCTCCCTGCGTTACAACCTCAAAACGCAGACGTCATCCCTGCGTTACACCATCAAAATGCAAAGGTTATCCATGTATTACAATATCAAAACGCAGAGATCATCCCCAACGGTCCAATTAAAAACACAGAGTTTGTGGACTCAAAACGTGGAGTTCATCTCTGCGTCCCAACTCTACATTTTAGATTTACAACGCTGTGCGAACATGACGTTTTCAGCCAAAAACAGGCCTAACTCTGTGTTTCAAGTCTAAAATGCAGAGTTCGGACCCAGAACAGCCAGACTGGCGTTTGACTCGTTCAAAGCACAAACTGAACGGTTTCAAAACCGTTTTCCCCACGATTTGGGGAGCAGTTTAAGGGGGAGGTTACACCCCATTCAGCCCCCACGTAGGAGCGAATTAAGGGGGCAGTTACACCCCCTAATCCCCTATAAATAGGAGTAAACTCAACTGAGTTTGGGGCCTTGGGTTTTGGCAGAAAAGAAGAGATCTTCGGCTACCTTTTTGGGGGAAATTGCTGGAGCTTTGGAGATCGGAAACAAGAGCTTTCTTCATCCTTGGCTTACAAACTGATTTTGGTTAAATTAACTCTTTTATAGAGTTTCAAACTCATTCAGAGTTATTAACTCATCAAGAGTTCTTTAAAACTTATCACGCAAGTTTTCTATAGCGTTAAATCGTGAGGAGAAGACCACGTTCCAGTAAAACAAGATGTTCGGATCATTAACGAGAAGCAAACTCGACGTGAGCATTCGAGGGAGGCATCTCATCACCACTGTGAAGAACCCAGTTTTAAACAAAGGGGATGATTTGCATCAATTCTCTTCTCTTTTGTAATCGGGAAATCCAAATTGCAATCGAAATTGAGAGAATAAAAATCAAATAGAATTCTTTCATTTTCTTATTGCAAATTTTTCACCAAACAAAAGATGGCAACTCCGCTGAGGACGAGCTTCTCTGACGAAGAAGTGGTAGCATAATCCGATGTTCATCTCACTGGAACGACCGTTGAAACTCTAATCATCGACTTCGATCAAGCCAAATATGAGGAGTTACTCTCCTTCGGATCCCTTAGCCCTAAGGCTATGCCTAAGATCCGCAAAGTCTTCAAGGAGACTAAAGCTCCAATTGTTGCTCCTATGCCGAAGGAAGCCCTCTCCTTTAGCCAAGATTGCTCGAACAGCCCCTCCCCCGAAGGAGTGGGCTCAGCTTATGCTAAACACAGCCCTCAGTGGCGTGTTGTACAATCAAAACGCAGCCTTTAGGAGCGCATTCCACAAATTAAACGCAACTCTCAGGAGTGCATTCAAGAAACTAAACGCAACTCTCAGGAGTGTGTTCCAGAAACAAAACGTAATTCTCAGGAGTGCGTTCCAAAATCAAAACGTAGATCTCAAGATTATGTTTTATCAGTAAAACGCAGACCTCAAAACTATATTTCACCAGCAAAACCTGGAGGTCAGGCATGCATTCGGGTAACAAAATCTAATACAGAACCTGGTGTATACCGTGAAGCTTCGGGGCGCTGCCCCGAACCCCACCGAGGGGTATACCATCCCCCCCGGACCCCCTGGCCCTCTAGACCCGTGGCTCACTGACCGGGCAACGAGACCCCCGAATACTCTGCATAGCACGACTAGATTGAGGGGGGGATATAAGAAGTCCATGGATTCAAGGCATTTCAAGAAGATCCATGTTCATCAGGAGCCAGTCCCGTCCAATCATAGACTGAGGATTCCAATTCAAACATCACGATCATCGAGTAACTCTTCTCGAGTTTTTGTAACAGATTTGAGAGAGTTCATATTGGTAGGAAGACCGATGTAACAAGTCATTTGTTCATTCCAATGTGAATGGCTGATTCCTATGGTCCTCTCAATATGTCAATGCTACTAATATGCGGCCAAACCATTAGTGTTCGACCAATTAACAAATGTTGCCTTGCCCAACCAACGATGACGGTCACACAAGAAAGAGTCTCCAGAGACCGAGTATCCTGGAGTCACTATCAATATGATCGGCAGAGGGAAAGCCTCAGGTCCTAGTCCCGATGATGACTCTGAGACAAGTCGTTCTCTAAGCATTAGATAAATCACTAACGAGTTTGAAGGAATCTACCAACACACTCGAACGCGAACAGGAGGCATTCCTCCTGTCAACTATCGGAGGTTAGCCAGAGGAACCAATTTCGAGGATGAACACTCAGCCATTGCGGAGTCTCAATCATCAAGTTCCTTCGTTGAACATGAGAGCTTCGCTCATATGGCAGAAAATTCTAAAGATCTCTCAAAGAGGGTTGCTGAGCAGGATGCTATTCTCCAAGCATAGCAGGAAACCATCAATCAACTTCAGGATATGATGGCTCAGATCATTACAAATAGAACTAATTTCTAAAAGCTGAGTCGCAACCTCGGCAGGAATCCTCTCGGAAAGGAGGATCGTCCATATCGAAGGTGAAACAAAAAGTGAACGAGACCTCTGATCAAGAAGCTCATCACATAGTCTCTTCATCTGAAGAAGAGAAAGAAGCCGAGAATGAGCAGAATCCTCAATCCGCTAAAATAAAAGAATTAGAAGCCTGTCTTAATGTCATTGCTAACAGAAGCGAGCTCCAAGACGAGAGAGTTGTCAGGCCCTATCCTGTCGAATGGGATGCAACCCCTTATCCTCCAAAATTTAAAGTCATGTCGCTACAAACTTTTAACGGTACGGAATCACCGAACCAACATATCTATCATTTTAAGTTACAGATTAGAAATATGATATCAAACGACGCCATACTGGCTCGATTGTTCATTGGCACCCTCAAGCGAGTTGCCTTTGAATGGTTCAGAAAACTACCTGCGGGCCAAAAGTGGGCAGATCTAGAGAGACTCTTCCTATTAAGATTCTTTGAAGAGGATACAGAAGTCTCCATCCATACCCTACTCGCCACTAAACAGAAGAAGAGGGAGTCCATCAAAGCCTTCGTCAAAAGGTTTTGAAACATGGCTCTGCGATGTTCGACATGTATGACACAGTCTACCCTAGTGGAGACATGTCTACACAACTTGCATACCGATCTTCTAGCACAAATAAGGGTTGTAGAATGATGTTCCTGGAGACAACTAATCTCTCAAGGTGAACATGATCAAAAGATTATTGCCAGGATCAAAACTGAAGAACAAAGTCTCTAGACCCGTGGCTCACTGACCGGGCAACGAGACCCCCGAATACTCTGCATAGCACGACTAGATTGAGGGGGGGATATAAGAAGTCCATGGATTCAAGGCATTTCAAGAAGATCCATGTTCATCAGGAGCCAGTCCCGTCCAATCATAGACTGAGGATTCCAATTCAAACATCACGATCATCGAGTAACTCTTCTCGAGTTTTTGTAACAGATTTGAGAGAGTTCATATTGGTAGGAAGACCGATGTAACAAGTCATTTGTTCATTCCAATGTGAATGGCTGATTCCTATGGTCCTCTCAATATGTCAATGCTACTAATATGCGGCCAAACCATTAGTGTTCGACCAATTAACAAATGTTGCCTTGCCCAACCAACGATGACGGTCACACAAGAAAGAGTCTCCAGAGACCGAGTATCCTGGAGTCACTATCAATATGATCGGCAGAGGGAAAGCCTCAGGTCCTAGTCCCGATGATGACTCTGAGACAAGTCGTTCTCTAAGCATTAGATAAATCACTAACGAGTTTGAAGGAATCTACCAACACACTCGAACGCGAACAGGAGGCATTCCTCCTGTCAACTATCGGAGGTTAGCCAGAGGAACCAATTTCGAGGATGAACACTCAGCCATTGCGGAGTCTCAATCATCAAGTTCCTTCGTTGAACATGAGAGCTTCGCTCATATGGCAGAAAATTCTAAAGATCTCTCAAAGAGGGTTGCTGAGCAGGATGCTATTCTCCAAGCATAGCAGGAAACCATCAATCAACTTCAGGATATGATGGCTCAGATCATTACAAATAGAACTAATTTCTAAAAGCTGAGTCGCAACCTCGGCAGGAATCCTCTCGGAAAGGAGGATCGTCCATATCGAAGGTGAAACAAAAAGTGAACGAGACCTCTGATCAAGAAGCTCATCACATAGTCTCTTCATCTGAAGAAGAGAAAGAAGCCGAGAATGAGCAGAATCCTCAATCCGCTAAAATAAAAGAATTAGAAGCCTGTCTTAATGTCATTGCTAACAGAAGCGAGCTCCAAGACGAGAGAGTTGTCAGGCCCTATCCTGTCGAATGGGATGCAACCCCTTATCCTCCAAAATTTAAAGTCATGTCGCTACAAACTTTTAACGGTACGGAATCACCG